ATGGTCTTCCTCATTCTGTTTTCCAGCTGCTGTGTGTGTGTGTGTGTGTGTGTACACCAAAGTTTATTCAACCGATCTTTATGCTTGGACAGTTAGGTAGTTTCCAATATTTTGCAATTACAAGTAATACTTCAGCGAATACCCTTGAGTGTGTGCATTTTTATATTGTTAAGGGATGTATCTTCCAAATAAATCCCTACAAGTGGGATTGCTCAATTGAAGGGTATAATAGTGCTTTAAAGTTTCCTTTTTTTTTTTTTTTTAAGATTTTATTTTTTTAAGTAATCTCTACCCTCAGTGTGAGGCTAGAACTTACAACCCCGAGATCACGAGTCGCACCCTCCACTGACTGAGCCAGCCGGGCTCCCCTAAAGTTTCCTTTTAAAATGTATTTAGGGACGCCTGGGTGGCTCAGTCATTAAGCGTCTGCCTTCAGCTCAGGTCATGATCCCAGGGTCCTGGGATCGAGCCCCGCGTCGGGCTCCCTGCTCCGCGGGGAGCCTGCTTCTCCCTCTCCCACTCCCCCTACTTGTGTTCCTTCTCTCGCTGTGTCTCTCTCTGTCAAATAAATAAATAAAATCTTAAAAAAAAATAAAATGTGTTTAAATCAAAAGAAAAAAGTGAGTCAGATAAAATGATGAGGTAGATAACAAATAGTATAGGCAATACAGAGACATGGCAGACATCCTAGAGGCAGGCAAATGAATGAAGTTGGAGCAAAACTGAGCTGGGTTGTTGCCACAGTCCCTTCAAATTCCAAAATAGAAATCCAGATGGGACGGGGGCTCATGTGTATGTTATAGCAGGTTCAGATGGAGTCCCCTGGGAATTCATCATCAGAGCCTGAGTCCTGGCCTCAGTGACCGTCCGTGGAAATCCACGCACGCAAGCCCACTGATCTGCTTTCCTTGGTGGTGGCAGCATGGTGCGTGTACCCTGGGCGGGGAGCAAGGCTGCACTGAGACAGGCATGTATCTACAGGGAGCTGTGGGAGTGAGGGCCCAGAAGGTTCTGCAGAACTGTGCCGGACGTTCTGGTCTGGCATAAAGAGGACATTCACTTTGACCTTGAATCTCACCGGGAAAAAAAGGTCAAATCTCTTTGGCACCCTCTTTTAAAGATGATTGTGGAAACCGTTTTAGAATAGTGAGAATCTGGACAGACCCTCTCCCAAAGAAAACTTATTAAACCCCCCCATGCCCACGTGGCATTTTGCATAAAGTTTCAGGGAGTTGACAGACGCTAGGTAAGAATCACTACTTTTAAGAGTTGTTTGGATAAAATTGTTAAAAAGAAGGGGCAGTGGCAACCTGCTTTGGCACTGGAAAGGACTGTCGTACGTTCATCTAGAGAATTAATCCCCGTAACTGTGCTGGCTGGGTGAGGATAGGGAAGGTGGGAACCAGGGTGACAGAACCAAGGTTCAGGAACCTCAGTGTGCGTGGAGAGACCTTCGTGGGCCTGGTCCTGCACAAGGAGGGGACCTGGGAGTAGGGCGGGCAGCAGTCCTGGCTTTTGCTGCTCCTTTTCTCATCATTTGTCACTATGCTTCTGGGTTTCTGTTTCCTCATATACAGTATCTAGGACTGAACCAGTGGTTTTTAGCAGTTCTGTGTGAAGCTCCAGAATTTTAGAAAGGAGCTTTAGGGGCCTCTGTGGAGTGCAGGAGGAAACCCGCAGCCAGGGACGTTTGGGAACCCACCCACCCTTTAGCCAGAGCAGCTCTGCTCCTGTCTGTGGTGGTGTGTTGTGGGAAATTGTCATTCAGAATTAATATGCCACTCCTTAACTAAGTTTGGTGAGTACTAGACTGGATTATCTTTAATGGCTGTGTGCTCCAGAATTCTGAGTGTCCAGGGAGATTAAAAAATTAAAAAGGAATAACCACGTCACAGCAGGCGTATTCTTTAGGCTGAGGTGCTAGGGCTTGGTCCTGTAACCTTGGGGAGTCCTTGAAGCTGAGTTCCTGCCTCATCAGCTGGGCTGGGAGGGAGGGGAGCTCGCAGCAGGGCAGGAGGTGTGTCAGAGGTCCCAGGGTGGAAGCTAGAGGCTGGCATCACAGTCCTGCTGGGTAGTCTTCAGATGTTTTCAATGGCATGCTCCCATCGGTAGACACTAACAATCAAATAAATGTCATTTAAGCATGCAGCTCCCCAATATAGATACATTTATTGTAAATTATACCTATTTGTATTGCTGCTGTGCCAAGGTTAGATACATCACAAAACAAAACAGATTGTTTAAAGATGAGGATAATTAAAAATAAGAGAGGTACTGCCCCGTGAATCATCTGTCCCCAGTGGGGACAGAGTGCCCCCACCGCAGAGAGGTCAGGCTCATAGGGAGGCAGCTGGACGAGGTTGGTGGGGGTGAAGGTGCAGGCGCAGGAGGGAACAGTGGTTCTCAGCAGTCTGCACTCCCACCTGCTCTCTGCCGTGGCCATGCTGCTCGGACTGCTGTTTACTCAGTAGCTCCCTGTGAATTGACTCACTTGGTTTTTTTCCCCTTAAATCTCTCCGTCTAAGCAGTGATATCCACAGAAGAACAGGTTTTCCGTGCAGTTAGAATCTTCTAACGCACATTAAGATAAACACAGAACTCTGCAAACAGAACATTTGCCCGCATGGCACTTGAAAATCATGGGTCAGCCCCCACCTGTGTGATGGCCCCGTGGGAGGCCCCAGTCCACCCTGGGAGGAAGGGGCTGGTGGTCCGGGCCCGTGTGGATGGGTGGGTGGTGCACTCCTCCGTGCTAGAGGACAGTCGCAGGCGCAGCTGTGCCTAGTGGAGTTCCAGAGGGTGGTGGGCACGCGCTGCCTCCAGTGAGAATGCTGGGCACGCTCAGGGCAGACTGGGTGGGGCCCTGGGCCACCCGCTACATGTCATAGGGGCCGTGCGTCGCTGCCGGCTCTGCCTGCCGCCAAAGCCTCCCATGCTGGGCTCCCCCAGTCATCCGTCCCCCCATCCCATTAGTGAGCACTCGCCGCGTCCCGGGAGCTGGGCTCGACACTAGAGTTCCAGTGGAGAGCAAGACAGAGAAGGGGGCTCCTCTTATGAAACCCCCATTCTAGTGGCGGAAGGCAGGTGGCAACCATAAATAAAAAATAGGAAGTCCAGGCAGTTGTGAATGCTATAAAGTAAAATCGAGATGAGAGGGGGAGGGACAGATTTATCCAGGAGAATTCCGAATAATGTATGTAGCTACTCCCTCCAGGAGATAGAGCCTAACTCCTCGCTCCTTAAGTGTGGGCTGCGCTTAATGACTTACTCCCGCAGAGCTTGCAGTGAGGGGAGGAGGGAAAGTAACTTTCTAGTGGAGAAATCTGACCAGCGTTCGCTTGGCCAAGTGGTGCAGACTTGACGTCGGCGGTGGTCGGGCCGTGTTGGTAGCCTGCACCCTCACTACAGCCGGCATCGAAGGGCACTTCCCCCGTGTGGGCTTCCTTCCAGAAACCTCTACCCCAGTCTAATGATCTGAAAACATCAGACAGACTCAGATTGAGGGACATTCTGCAAAATACCTGACCAGTTCTCGCTCCTGAAACCGTCAGGTCACCAGAGGCAGGGAAGTCAAAAGCTGGCACAGTCAAGGGGAGCCTAAGGGGACATGACGACTAGATGTAATGGGGTCCCTGAGAAGGGATCCTGGAACAGAAAATGAACTGTAGGGAAAAACTAAGGAACTATGAATGAAATATGGATTTTTGATAATAATTTAAGGAGGTAAAAACCGGTGCAGAAGGAGTTGAGAAGACATCTCTGAGGCGGTAGCATCTGAGCTGGGCCTTGAAGGATGTCACTGAGTCAGGCCAGGGTAGGGGAGACCCGGGGTGAAAACATTCCGGGCACAGGAAGCAGCTGTGTAAAGATCCTGGGGCAGAAATAAGCTTGGGCCCATCAAAGAGCATGGAAGAAGCTCAGCACAGGTGGAGAGGGGTGCTGGGGAGAAGGCCAGGGAGTGAGGTCAGAGGTGGAGAGGAGCGGGGCTGCACAACAGACTGCCTCGACACTGTGGACGGCATGTGGATTTCATCCCCATGTGATGGGAAGGCAGTGGAGAATTCTGAACAGAAGGGCGACGTGAGCTCATTTCCACTTAAAGTCACTTGGGTCTGTGTGGAGAACAAACTAGGGGATAAAGGAGGGCAGAGCCAGCTGGGAGGCCTCTGCGCGAGTCCAGGGGCAGATCATGGATGGCGGGGAGCCGTTGGAGTCCCTGAGCCCTCCCATCCCTCCGGATGCAAGTGCAGCTTCACACATCAGCATCCTTTCCCCCACATCTGTCTCCTGAAGGTAGGGGAGATGACCTGAACTCTGGGTTCCAAGAACTAACTATTTGAAGGTCCACACCTGCACGTCAAAGAACTCTGTGACGGAGACCCCTTACGGCCAGTAGCTAACCATCTCTCTTTCGTCTCTGTTGGTTAATGCCTTCTTTGAAAACTAGAAACGTACCCCATGCTTACGTCGGTTCCTACAAGTGGCCTTTAATTGGGAAAAATACAGCGAGGTTCCTAACCTCCCTTTGCCTTCTGGAAATCATCAGTGGAAAAGGAAAACAAAAGGCTTCAGGCATGTCAAAGCCTTTCCTAGAGTGTAAACAGTTTCAGAATCTTCTCGGTGAATTTGGTTATATTTTATTAACCACGTATCATTTTTCTTCCCTCTGCTGCCTCAACTCCTTTGAGAAGGAAGTGTGGTGTCAGTAAAGTAAAATAAGTGCCTTAAAAAAATATCTTGAAATAAATTACTGCAATTTGCACTTTTTATTAAAATCAGGGCCACATTTCTTGGCGTTGCCAAGATGCCAGGAAAGAGAGGTTGTGGGCTCTGTCTTATTTCTCCCCAGCTTGTCGCTGACGCTCCTGTCACTGCTGGCGAACGCTTGCTGGACGCATGAGGAGCGGTCTACTTGGGCTCTGTCTCTAGGATGACTGTGTCTGTAAATCCAGGGCTGTGAAGCCGTCCGAGCTCATCCCCGTCTCTGTATTTGCTTCTAGAGATAGAGATGGTGATCATGGAGCGCGGCAAGCTCCCGGAGCTGGCAGCCAACACGTCTGTGCAGGAACAGAATACCACGGACGAGGAGAAGAGTGCCGCCGCCACGGGCTTGGAGAGTGCACTGTGGAGCAGGTGCCACCAGTGGGCCCAGTCCTCCTGGTGCTGGGCGGGGTGGGAGTGGGGAGGGGAGCGCACAGGCCAGCCCACCAGTCATGGTGGGGGTTGCTGCTCCGTCGCTGGGAAGAGGAGATGGGCTGAGCAGTGGGGGGAAAGGGGGTACCCTCGCTGGGGTGTCCAGCACAGGTAACCTGGAGCCTCTTCCAACACCCAGATGGCCTCTTCGGCCTCTCAGCGAAGTTGTCCTGCTTCCTGCGTTTCCTTGCTTCTCCAGCCCCTCTCGAGAGGCCACAAGGACAGAGCTGATACTCAGCTCTGGAGTGCTCACCCCTTGGAAAGAGGAAGACTGAGACATGGCGCCACCTCCCCCAAGCTCTTTGGTGGTGGGCCCTGCCCTAAAGGGTGTGGGTCGCCTCACAGCCTTGTACTGGCCACCCCTGGCAGTGCTCTGCTGCTCCCAGGAAGGATCCCCTTGGGGGCCGCATTTGGATCTCCCTGTCTCATTCATTCATTGCTATGCTACCCCGCCGTGCATAGGGCCTGCCCTCCTCACTCAGCCAGCGTGATTTCACGCTGCTGCCTTGCAGCTTTTTGCCTAAGTGTTCACTTCACTGATGGCCTGCTGAAGCTACATCCTCTTAAACCTTTGAGATGCCGCATTTCCTGGAAACTTGCTGCAGCACCAGCCCTTCCAGAATGCGATTGGGCGGAAGGCTGCTTCCAAAGTGTGCAGTGAACTGTCAGGAGGACTTTTTCATTTCAGAGTTATTTTCCTTCCCGAGGAGCCCCGCTGCAGAGACCCCTGCCATAACCTAATCCCATGCACAGCAGTGGGGTTCGCTGTCAGCCTACAAAGCATTCACTTCCTGAACCCTCAGGGTGGAGTGGCGGGAATACACACACACCCCATCCTACTTATTAGACCAACTTGAAGAGTTGAAGCACGCCCGTTTTTTTCCTCCACCTGTCTGCTTGGCAAATGTTTCAGTTATCTAACAGTCAGGACTCATTTCTCTCAGATGCACAAGGGAGCCATTTTTAGTTGGGTTTAAATTAAAAAACACCGGAGTGTGGTATCAGCTATCAGTTGTTGGAACTTACAGAGACCGTTTTGATTTTGCTTGGCAGCAAAAAACATAACTCCTGAAGCTCTGAAAATTCAGGAAATCATTCTAAACTCAGAAAGGGAGGGGAAAACAACCGTTCATTGCTTGGCACAGCATTAGTGAGGATATGAATAATTGGAAAAACCACAAATGAGTAGTGGTGGGGGTGTATCAGCAAACGGGGGTGCATCTGCTTAATAGAATAGGAGCTGCTGCTTTTAAGTGAATACTGTCAGGATGTGTTGGGTTTCTTAGGATCTAATAAATGGAAACAGAGCACATATTTTACATAGTATGGTAATACTGTAGCTTTGCTTAAGGAAGAAAAATAACTATATATATGTATTTTAAAACGTGGAAAGACAAAATGTTATGTTTGAATGTTGGGTTGAGACTTCTTTTTTTTCCTGATCTATAGTGAAGAGAGGGTTTTTCTTAGAGTCGATTGAAATTGTTTCTTAACTTTCAATGACTTTAACTGGCATCTTCTACCATGTGGCTTATAATGGAAGCTGATTCTTGTGCCTTGAGTTGGGCTCACATACAAGCTTGTGGCCCCGGGACCCTTGGGCCAGGGCTGTCCTTGGCTCTGAGACCAAATGCCAAGGAGAGACTGGCCCAGGTGGAAAGTTGCCTTCTCCTTTGCGAAGGTATTGAATTGTTGGTTGTCTGGAACACTGCCAAGGACTTCTCTCCTCCCCGTTCCAGGCCCGGAGCAGGGAGGAGGGCACTCTGGAGGAAGGAGGGGGCAGTGTGTTCTCCTTGACATGAATCGGATCTTGACATTGGTCCACTTGTCTGAAGAAACAGCATAGTACAAAGTGGAACTGTTCTCCTATTCCTTGTGTATCATGGGCTCTGTCTGCATTCAGGGTTAAATATAGGCCTCCGAAACTGAAAAATGTCTTAAGCATTCTTTTCTTAAAAAAAAATATAAAAGTAACACACATGCAGAAAATGTAAAGACATTTTGAGAAAAAGCATAAAGAAGGGAGAAAGATCTCCATGATGCCAGCATCAAAGTCAGCTGTCACTAACGTTCTGGTTATTTCCTGCTAGTCCTTTCTCAGTGGGAATTGTATCCTGCTTGCCCCCAGTACTTATACCATACCGTGCCCATCATTTGTCTTTTTTTTTTTCTGTCTGATACCAAACCCCAGGCATCTTTTTCACTTTACTATACACTCAGTAAACAAAATGCTAATGGTTTCACGCTGTTTCATCTCCTAGAAGATGCTATGTCTACTCAGCCCTCCCTCTGCTCCTGGGCGTTTGGTTATTTGCATTGCTCTCGAATGAAAACACAGTCAACGTCCCAGGCAGCTGGTTTGCAAGAAAAATTTTCTTCTTCATCCCACTCTTAAGTTGAAAGTGTTACTGGGGTGCCTGGGTGGCTCAGCCATTAAGCGTCTGCCTTCGGCTCAGGTCATGATCCCAGGGTCCTGGGATCGAGCCGAACATCGGGCTCTCTGCTTGGCGGGAAGCCTGCTTCTCCCTCTCCCACTACCCCTGCTTGTGTTCCCTCTCGCTGTGTCTCTCTCTGTCAAATAAATAAATAAAATCTTAGAAAGAAAGAAAGGAAGGAAGGAAGAAGAAAGAAAGAGAAGAAAGAAAGAAAAAGAAAGGAAGGAAGAAAGAAGAAAAGAAAGAGAAGGAAGGAAGGAAGTGTTACTGCCAGGCACTTACAGAAACCCAGATCCACACCTGGCAAAACTATTCACGCATCTGAAAGGTGCCCCATCTGGGGCCCTGGAGAAACAGCCCGGATGTAAATGTCCCCTTTAAGGAAGGGCTCTTCTTTTAATTTCCCAGCGTCATGTGTTTATTTGAAATGTTATGACAAGAACGTTTGCACTACTTTCTCTTTTGCATTTTTCAGTTCAGTATTTTGAATCACTGGTACGTTCATGGATTTCAAATTTTTTAAAAGTATAAAAGGTGATGCAGTGAACAGTTTCCCCGTTTCTCTGCCACACCTCTTCACTCCGCTAGACGGTGATGTTGACGGTGGCTGTGCGTCCTTCTAGGGGTCACGTGTGCCCTCGGTCACTCCTCGAGGTGCTCTTTCTTGGACTCAGCCTGGCCTGACTTTCTTGGACTCAGCCTGGCCTCCACAGAGGCAGCCGCGGGTGGTCACAGGCTCAGAGCCTCCTGCTGACGGGCCAGACCCGTGCACATTCTGTTATCCTTGTGATGAAGAGTCTTTCCAGGCCAGGTCCTTCACCTGGAAGGGCAGCGTTTGGGGTGTGTGGTTTGTGATATTTGCAGCCACTCTCTAGACCTCTCCCACAAAGCACCAGAGGTGAACCCTCACATCGATTCTTACCCGTCAGGAAAATCAGTCCAAAAAATTGCAGGACCTGCCAAAGTGGGCTCCAGGAGAAGTGCCCTTGGACTGCTCGAAATAGAAATCTGGCCACAGCTCCCACATGCGAGCACCCTTCACACTGTGCACCTGGCCTGGTGCTAAATGCCTGTCCTTTGTCGTTTCATGTTGAACCCCCCTGGGAGCCCTTCCCAGTGGGGAAATGGAGAGGTTTTAGGTAGCTAACCCAAGAGTTTGCAGCTCAGAAGAGGCAGAATCCAAACTGGAACCCAGGCAGTCTGGCTCCGGGGCCCACGTTCTGAAATTGTTTGGACTTGTTGGTGCCTTGTCTGCTATCTTTGCCTTGTCACTCTCCTTGACGTGATGATCTGGTCCATCTGTTCTCTGGCATGGGAGTGCCCTAAGAGCAGGGACTTAGCATCATTTACCCCCAGTGTCTGGAACAGCCGGGCCACGGTTGTTGAGTGACGAAGTGGCCTGTTCCTCAGTTTCCCCTGGAGCTAGCTCCCCACGGGCAGAGCCCGTCCTCCACGCCCGGTGCTGGACGGGGACGTCGTTGGACTCGCCGCACACTGGGGGCAGAGCTGTACAAGGCAAAGGTGGCCCGCACTTCGTGTGTAGGTGGGCGAGGAGAGCTGTCCACCGTGTGTGCCAAGAGGCTCATGTGCGCCCCTCCTCTTTTCCAGACCCTTCCTCGATATGGTGTACCATGCCCTGGACAGCCCAGATGATGACTACCATGCACTGTTTGTGCTCTGCCTCCTCTACGCCATGTCTCATAACAAAGGTAAGCCTCCCCACCTCGCCTGCCTTCGTGACATCCCTCTCTGCCTCGTGGCACCAAAAAAGAAAGCCGCTTTCCTTGAGGAATGTCCTTTCTGGTTTTGGCAAACTCCTACAAAACTTCTCTTCGGTCTTGTTAGAATTTCTCAGGTGCTTTTGTACATACCAAAGCCACAGGAATTGGTTACTAGGGCAGTATGGGTGGGGTGGGGTGGGAGAGAAGGTGCAAGTGACTGTCTAACCCAGTATGACTATATTCACACTGTGGTTTTTCTTTCGACCCCTGGCTTTTACGACTGGCTTAGTATCCGACCTCTCTTCCTAACGTCAGAACTGAAATCAGTCAAATTGTAATCTTGGTTTTGCTATTTATAATAGCTGACGTTCTTGCTCTGGGTTGAGGGCTAAAATAGACTCTGGGCAGATTGGGTGGAAGCATAGGTTTCCTTTCTGAAGAAAGGTGTGGTTCTCTGGCTTCCCCCCCTGGAGGTGGTGTGGTCAGGATCGGAGTCCTGTGGAGCTGACAGACCTGGTTAGGATTCATTCACTCACTTCCTCACCGGGGACCGCCGCTGGTATATGCCCCCCACCTGGCTTGACACGGGCAGGCTCTGAAACCCCCACATCAGAAGCTCTTCAAAGAAGAAATCGAGAACATTCTTCCTGGCCACTGCCCCGAGCTGGCCTTGGCATAGATGAGACTTTGCAGCAGGTGATGTTTTCGTAGGTTCTTCATAAGCTAATTGGGAGGTAGGTAGAGGTGGGTTTTACTAGACAGCCTATGTCTAGAGACATTTAAAAAGCACTCAATGTAATAAGTATTCTTAAATCATTAATGCTGATAAATAAGTGGACCAGTGGCAAAAGAATATATGGGGGAAAAAGCCTCACCTCCCATCCCTGTCCTCCACTCTCTTCTTTGAGGTGGTTCATCTTAGCAGTTTCTTGTGTCTTTTTAAAGATATCCATGCAGGGGCGCCTCGGTGGCACAGTCGGCTAAGTGTCCCAACTCTTAGTTTCAGCTCAGGTCATGATCTCAGGGTCATGAGATCGAGCCCCACCTCAGGCTCTGTGCTCAGGTCTGCTTGGGATTCTCCCTCTCTTCTTCTCCCCGCCCCCCCGTCCTGCTCTTGGACCCTCTCTCTCCAAAATAAATAATCTTTAAAAAAAAATTAAAGATATCCACACAAACCCAAGTATGAGTATATAGGGTCTTATTTCTACGACTGTCCCTCACTTAAACATGAATAGAGGTATCCCAATTGTCTGTTCCTATCCTGTTTTTCTCACATCATCATGTATCCACACATCGTTTCACGTCCCTAGAGAACTGCCTTGTTCTTTTTGGTTTTTTAAGATTTTATTTATTTTGAGAGAGAGAGAGCAAGCGGGGAAGCGGGGGCAGAGGGAGAGAGAGAATCTCAAGCAGATGCCGCACTGAGCACAGAGCCCAGTGCGGGGCTTGATCTCATGACCCTGAGATCATAACCTGAGCCAAAATCAAGAGTCAGATGCTTAACCAGCTAAGCCGCCCAGGCTCCCCTGCCTTTTCTTTTTAATCCTTTGTCTGTGCATCATTTATTCTGCCATCATCCCCTGATTGAATGGCACTGAAACTCTTTCCAGGCTTTTCCCACTGTGGTTAGGATCCACCGTGATGGCTCTTCTCACATTAAGTCATGGTGCTCACATGCAAGTCTGTAGACCCGGCTTAAGATCTCTAAAAGGAGCCCAGCGGGCTCTGAATCCTGCTGACATTTTCCGCCAGTCTTGTTCACCCCCATGGCTTCTGTGATCCCCTCCAGCGCCTGGCTTGGTGCGTGGCACACAGTAGCCCTCGGTTTCTGGGTGGCAACAGAACTCCACGAGACTGACCGACTCCCATCCAAGGATCACCCACCACTCCCTGGCCCCTGACTTCTGTGCTGTCTGCATCTGAGTTCCTGCTGGATGCATCCTGCATCCTGGAGACTCCTACCCAGCTGTTTCAGTACCACCTTGAAACACTGTGCTCATCCCCCTTCAGTATACCCTGACCTCAGCACACTTCCTGCCATTTCTGGTTCACTTGAAATTGCCAACCAAGGTTGAAACTGCCGTGACCTTTAGTTCCTTCCCTCCTTTGATCCCAGCATTTAGTCATCAGGTTTTGTCAGTTCTCCCTCTTCAGCCCGTCTGATCAGCAGAACTTAACTGAGTGCGACTTGGTGCCTAGTCCTAAGCTAGATGCTGGAGATGAGAACCAGGGGCATGAGAGCAGGGAGATCTGGGCATGGCATTCCAGTGGCTGTTATCACAGCCTCCCAGGGGTCAAACATCTGGCCATCTCATGGTCCATCCTCCATAGCACTGCCAGGTGGTCCTCCATAAGACTGTTGACCATGTCCCTCCCCTGTTCAGAAAGCCTTTGTGCCTTCTTGTAACCCTTAAACCTCACCCTTGTCTGCCTGTCATTTTGAGTATCCAGATGGCACCCACCTTGCCAACTTGATCTGGTTCCTCTGACTTCCCTTCAGAGACCCTTGGCTCTGGGTTTAAACTTCTATCTAGTGATAGAACTCTTTCATAGAGATAAACTTGGGGATGCTGTTGTGGTACTCACTGAACTCTTTAAAAGTTCTTCTGGTTACAAGCAACAGAAACTACTTCTCATTAACTTAAGTAGAAGGGAAAGTCTATAGGAAGGCCCCTGGGGCAGCTCCCAGGATCCAAGAAGTTGCTCAAAAGCTGAAGGAAGGACAGGAACAAACCAGCTCTGGGGACTTCCCTCAGGGTAGATCATGATTTGGCCCCAGCAGATCCCCGGCTGAGAGTCTGTCTCTGTTCAGGTTTCAAATTCTTGGGCATGAGATCTGACTGTTCCAGCTTGGTGGTGGTGTGTCTCTCTCTGGAACATGCAGTTATGGCTGGGGGTCAGGGTCACATAGCACAGACTTGGCCCTACGGGGCTCAGCCCTGTGTCTGGGACTATTCCCGAAGACATGAGCTTCCTTGGAAGCCTGGCAGCCACTGCAGTCAGTGCCAACATGCCTACCTGTTCCTGGCTAGTCTTCTCCCTTTTGTATTCATTTGTGTTTCTTCCTGCCATTTTCTCTACCTCTATGTCACCCCCTGTCGAAATTTTGCTTGCCTGTCGGAAGTCACCTGCTCCAGGAAGTGTTTTCTAATCCCTTCAGGTAATATTCACTTTGGGTTGGTACCGTCTAATGTGGCAGGCACATTTTATACATTACTGAATTTGATTTGCTTAAAATTTTGTTAAGGATTTTTGCATTTATGTCCAAGAGTGATACTGGTTTAGGGTCTTATAATTCTCTTCCTTTATTTGCTTTCAGAGTTATGCTTGCCTTCTGGAATAAATTCGGATGTATTTTCTACTCCTGGATTGTATGGAGGAGTTTTTATAGAACTGGTATTATTTCTTCCTTAACTATTTGGTAGAATTCACCAGTGAATCCATCTGGGCCTAGAGTTTTGTTTGAGGGAGGGTTTTTAACTACTCAGATTCTTCAGTAGATACAGGACTAATGAAGCTTTATCTATTTCTTTTTGTGTGAGCTTTGATAGCTTATGTCTTTCAAGGAATGTGTCATTACATCTAAACTGTCAAATTTATTGGCAAAAATTCATTATATTTCTTTATTATCATTTTAATGTGTCTAGGATCTATAGTGATGTCTCCTTTCTAATTCATGGTATCAATTGTTTAGGTCTTCTTTTGCTTTTTCCTGATCAGTTTGGCTAGAGATTTAACAATTTAATATTTTACTGATACTCAAAGAATTGTCTTTTGGTTTCAATGATTTTTCTGTATTTTTTTGTTTTTTATTTTATTTCTGTTCTTTATTTCTTACCTCCAGCTGCTTATTTCAGATTTAAATTAGTCTTCTTTTTGTAGTTTCTTAAGATGGAAGCTGAGATCATTGATATTTTTTTTAAAGATAATGTTTTTTTTTTTTAATTAACGTATAGTGAAATTAAACTTTTTTGTGTGTAGTTGTTATGAATTTTAGCACAGGTGTGGGTTTGGTCAGCACCACCATAATCAGGATACATTGTAGTTCCATCAACCAAAAATTCCCTTGTGCTAGAGGTACCTGGGTGGTGCAGTGGGTTAAGTGTCCAACTCTTGGTTTCAGCTCAGGGTCGTGAGATTGAGCCCCGTGTTGGGCTCTGTGCTGAGAGTGGAGGCTGTTTGGGTTTCTCTCTCCTCGCCCTCGGCCCCTGCCACGCTCACTTGCTCGTGCTCTCTCTCTCAAATAAGTAAACAAAATCTTAAAAAGAAATTCCCTTGCGCTATTATTCCTTTTCAGTCTGTCATACCCTTCCCATAGCACTCATTGATTTTTAAACTTTTCTTCTTTTGTGATAAGAGTTTAATGCTGTAAATCTAAGCATAGCTTTTGGGTGCATGCAATACATTTTGATATATGTGGTTTTATTTTTATTCAGTTTAAAATATTTTATAATCTCCCTTTGATTTATTCTTGTCCTTTGTATCATCTGTGTAATTTCTAGTTATGTTTCTGTTATTGATTTTTCTCCTGGTTTGGGTTTTGGGCTCTGTCCTGGGTCATGGTTAAGTTACTTGGAATCGGTTTGATCCTTTCGAGGCTTTCAAGCTTTGTTGGTGCTGGTCCAGAACAGCCTTTAGTCTCAGGCTCACTTGGCCCCACTACTGAGGCGGTCCCTTTCTGAGGATTATACTTGATGGGCCATGGTTTGCGTGGTCCTTCCATGCTGGCTGCTGGGAACAGGAACTCTTCTCAGCCTGTGTGAGCCTGGGATTGTTCCACCTGCTTCATTCCCAGAGATCATTCCCTTCCCTCCCATGCATGCACAGAGCAGGACTTAGCTGACGCCTCAAAGGACCCCTCTATACCTCTCTCTACAGCCCCCTCCTCTCCAGTCCTCCTTCCTCTCAGTTCCAGTCACTCTGCCCATCTGAGCTCCAAACTCTGCCATCTCATCTCAGAGAGACCGTGGCCTTTGTTGGGGGTTTCT